GCACCATTCAAATTATCTGTAGCATATTTCAGGAGTGCTATGACCAAAAGAATGAAAAAGTCGATTGATGATCTTCTCTTGCACATATTCTACATTTCGATGGAATTCGCTAATAAACGAATCCTTTTTTACCTCCCGTCTCTTTCTTTATTCGTTTTGGTGTCCGAAAATTTCGATAAATGATGAAGTGTGCGATAACTATTGCTGTCTCGAAAATATTTCAATTGCTAATAGTTTCTATGATAGAAAGACCTAAAGATGCTAAGTTTTCACTGTTGAAACAAAAGTATAGATTTGCAAGCACCTGCCGCTGGGTGATTCTAATGTTACGGTAAGTTAACACACGCCTGTTGCAACCGCAAGCCTTCCAGTTTATCTTGGCGGTCACGAATGAGTGCAGTTGACGTATTTCAAATGCTTTTGTTTAATGTATTGATGCACTTATTGTGTCCGCATTCGAGCACGTGGAGGTTCAATTTCAGTCAGACAGTAAATTTCAAATTATCGTCGAATCCTGATGGTTAAGAATAAGTTATCCTTAATCGCCGTTGCGTGAATAATTACGAAAATTCTTTTAACTCGCAAAACCACTTCCGTTAAGTACACCAACCTATCAGATTCTCAATTTAGAGCAATCCAACATTGTTATGTGCATAGCTAATTCACTTTCGAAAACACTGCTATCAATCCGTGTGATAAAAAGCTCCTTATTTCTGTTACTGGCCAAGTGTTCAACAAAATAAAATCTCATTACAGTGCAGTCCAGTGCACTCTTCAGAGTTATAACATTTGAAAACGGAAAACAAACTGACTATGTTGAGCAAGCCTTATTATCAGTCATGGATTCGGTTGACTCACTTTTATGAGAGTCAATAGGAACAGTGGGAAAGTGGTAAATGTGATTGAATATAGGGCGATCAGCAAACTATACATAAAATCGATGCTAATGTGCATCCTTACCGGATACATGAGCGTGACGTCACTTAACATGTTATTCATTTAATTAGAGTTGGTACCGTAAGCTATCCGCCACATTTGTGACCTTTTGCTTGCGTCAATATCATCCATTCCACCCGATAGACCACCTTCACTGAGTGACAGCGGTCCCTAAATCAGTTTCCGATTTGTACAGTTTATGGACGCCATAAACCGGAAGCCACTGCTAAATTCAATGGCACACTGCTGTATGGTTCACAAGCTCATACCATTCGACTCAAATGAACCAATTTTCAATGTTGTCCATTTTTCCACAGTTCAGTTTAGTTTTTACAAGCATTAACCATGCTCGTTTGTGCGCCAGTTTTGGCTGCTATCTTGGATAGAAGAGTAAAATGAAGATTGAAAGTTTGAGAGCGAATTCAAGGAAAGGATAGGGGATTGATATAGACTAGGGTTGCAAGAATTTCATCCTAATAAATGAATTTGGTGCTCTCCATACTTGTCGGTGGGGTTAAAATAAATGGCGAATTACGTTATACAACCGGTAGCTAATAGTCACAGTTCAGGAGGGGTTAGTGTGTTGCAAGAACAGCATTTCTGCCAAGTTTGACTTTATCCAGTGATATTTTCTAATCAGTCTCGTCTCTAGTAGTTTTATTGAAATATTTTGGAACATTTGTTTTTTTTTCTTTACTGAAGTTTTGTAGTACATAGTCAGCATGAAAACCAGAACCAACGTTCATTGACTTGTTGAAAATCATCCATACAGCGCTTTCATACCAAATCTAACCCTTACCTCGTATGATTGTCAACAGCTCTGTTTGGGTAAACACGTGCTATTGTTGGTGCCCATAATAGCACCGTTGTTTATAACCAAAAATGAATTACTCTTAAATAATAAGATATTTAAAGTATGATTTTATCCGGAAGCCTCACTCGCAAGTCATGTGAAAACAGGCCAATATTGCTCCCGTACACAATTTTAAGAAAGTCCTTTTATAGTTTATGAAGGGTATAATCGAAGATATCAATTACAGAAATCATCTTTTGCAAAATCTTTCAATCTTTGGAAGACCTGAATACTGGAAAAATGGTATACCAAACCGGAAATATTTCAGACTAACACCAACCAATATTTTCATCAGTCAGAAAAGAAACGAATCCAAGTCGTGAATTTGAACTACACCGTTTTGTAATTTGTGAATCTGATAAAAGCTGTCAACCACCAATATACATATGATAATTCCGGATGCTATCTATCTTGGCTAAACACGGACGTTACACTGATGACTAAATGAGACCAAATGGTTTAATGACAAAAACGATCATCTGGGATGGACCGGAAGCGTGAAAAAAAACGAAACGAAAACAACAACCATGATGGGAGTCCATTGATGGTTTGAGGAGTACTTCGGCTTCAAGGTTCAAGTGAACTCATTACTACGGCCAAGATTGTAATGCATAGCATGGTGCAGTGAAATGTTTTCTAGAGTGCATGACTGGTTGCATTACTCAGTTTAAGGCTGTATTCTGAAAGAATAACGCTTCAGTTGATAATATGAACAACGGGCCAAACTGAAAAGGAACTATCCACCAATTGGTAATGAATCTCGTGAACCGTATACCCAAAAGGAGTGTTCCGAAGCGGAAATGTCACTCTATGCAAACCAAATTTGCTCAACTTTCTTCCAGTTTTCTTTCCAAAAGACTCTGGTAAGTGGAACTTTGTACTGGAGCCTTTTACTGAACTTTTCTAATAATAAACTAAATGAGATATTTTGTTCAATCTGAAAATATGGATACGTGGTCATCTCTCTGGGTGCGGCAATTTTGTTAGAGGACATTGCCAGTGTAGTAACACGAGACATTTTTGTCAAGAAGCAGAACCTGAAACACATTTGTATCTTTTTAAAAGTTTAATAATGATAATTATCAGATGCTCACGTAGCTGCTTACACCCGAAATATACTCCATAGTTTTATTTTCATTCATACCTCTCGTTTTATTTGGGAAGAGGGCAGTCATATAGTCTATATAACTCATTGGAGTAAACCCAACCCTTTCTAGCAGAGATACAAGAGTAAATTTAACATAGGATGTCTAAATTTGCCTCCTGGGCAAGTGTACACAAACTTCCCCGAACGATTCAAGCTAAGAGATTTGGCTAGATGTTGAAAACACCCGTGCTCAACACTTAATGCCGTCAAACTTAAAATGTTTCACAAGTTATATGAATTTCAGCATCTGTTTGTGCCAAATAATCATAAGCACATACCATATTATGAAAGGAAAGAATATTTGGAATTTTCAATAGATATTCTTAAATTTTATTCCCAAACGTTCCTCACAAAACTGCACTTTCTTGCTGTTTGACTACAACTATTTTGAAAGGTTAGATCAGCAAAACGATCAACCTAAGAGAAAGCCTCGTCATTTTGAGGCACCTAATTGGTGGATTCACTCATCAAATAATGGATAGTTACTTTCAATACCGTGGCTGGAGAACCCTCCAACATAGATTAAGGCCAGTGGACGCCGGTCCTCCGCTTTATCCTGGAAGCTTTATGGGTACCGAAGGAGTTTTGGACTGAGATCTGTCGATCATAAGTGACAACAGAACAGTTGTGATAGTTACTGACGTATCGTTTAAACTTAATCATCATCAACAAGCATCTCTAGTACCAAAACGGTACGGTGGTGTTCAAGATTCGGTAGGCTGTTTGTCCTCTACATCCGACGACCAATTTCTAATCACCGAACAGAGACTGATCAGACTATTACCAAACACAGTGTCTCCGAGACACTTAGTAAATTCCAATCGACTGATCTCTTTTTGGGGCCTGACAGTATTCTTGGAGTTTGTCTAGCGTAGGAAGATTTAGCTACCTAAATAACAAAATCTATCCACCTTGCTGTTTATCTCATGTGGAATGCCATTGAGAACGGGACCAGCTCATCTATTAGATGTCCAAAGCACATGCAGATCTATTTAAAAAACCTCGAATGCCCCAAGAAACTGACTTGGTGATTTGAGTACTTTAAACTCTGCCGTATTGGCATCAGACTAAGTGTAAAACGCCTGAGAATTAGTCCCTTCGTACCCCGCCTGCTTTGTGTGCTTATTTAAATGGCAACATGTATTGGTTGTTTGAAACACCTTCTTTTGAACCTTTTGCTTTTCTAGCACTTACTATATCAGATTCGTTAACATCCTGATACTGCTTACCTAAACGCGTTTCTTATCTTCATATTGGAATCTTCTTTGCAAGGGTTGATTATTTCAAAAGGTGCTTGAATTAGAATTAACTCTTCCTACTTCTAAATACTCTTGAGCGTAGAAAAAATCAAACTATCGTGGCCTTCAAAAACATTTTACACCAACATCTTTTTGAATAGGTGATAACAAGTTCGACAAGTTGAACTCGCTGTCTAAGCAGGCAGTGGTCGAGAGAAACAATGGGTCGATGGAGCGTAACCCAAATGATGGGTTGCCGTCAGTTTCATTAGAGGAAGCCGGCGCGGTCACCTGCTGAAATCAGTTCGCTCAAGTCCGATTGAGACGAACTAATCGGTTTACAATTAAGGTTATCTCGAACCACCTCCATTGTATATTGCTTCAACAATAGCGTACGTAATGCATCAAAACACTTTCAACCACCACTGACAACACCAACATATGGTGCAAGCTTAGCAAGTTTTTGAACGGCTAAGACCTAACCATTCCATTCCCCCTGCTTTCTAATGACACGAGTTCATGTGCGACAAAATACAGTGAACTTGAAAACTTGCAACTGTCCACAAAGATTACTCGTTTTGACCCCGAGTGACAAAATTTCCACCGCTGTGAAAACCAAAATCCCGATAGTTTCTTTCCTACAGAGAAATGTCAGCACCGGCAACTATATGAGAAGAAAAAACCAGCCACAATCGCGCAGCTTTCCCATATTATGTTACTCAACAAGTCCGAAAGAAAGTCGCTTGTTTTTGCTATGCTATATTTCATTAAGAATGAACACCAGAAAAATGGCTAAATAGCATCGTGCCAGTATCAGTCATTTGATTTAGTGTCCAAGAGCAGCCTTCCGTTCCTCCAGTAATTCCTCGGCGGTAATCTTGAATTTCGATTTACCCCAATCGCACATAGGAAGGTTCTTGACAATTGTCCATTTCTTGTCTTTGATTTCCACGGGGAAGCTGAAGAAAATGTCCTCGGGGGCGCCGTAAGAGCCATCGCTGTATACGGACATAGAAACCCACTCACCCTGGATAGCAATCAATGATAATGGTAGATGGGAGACTCACCGGCTTCGTACCATACCACCAATCGTGAATATGGTCGACAATGGCCTTGGCCGCGGACATTGCACTGCTCAACTTTCTGGCAGCGATTACAGCAGCACCACGTTTCTGGACGGTAGTTAGAAACTCGTTCTTTATCCACTCCTCGTCTTTAACAGCCTCCCACACTTTCACATCCTTACCTCCGACGTGGGCAACGGCATGAGCGACATCGGGGAATTGAGTGGCGCTGTGATTACCCCAAACAATGCAGTTTTTCACCGCTGTGCAAGGGATTTTCAGTCGCTTGGCAATCTGAAGAAGTGAGATTTGAAATTATGCCTTTTACCTGAGCGGTAGCTCGATTGTGGTCAAGGCGGGTCATGGCCGAGAAGTTTTCTTTGGGGATGTTTGGAGCGTTTTTCATCATAATCAACGCGTTAGTGTTCGCTGGATTCCNCTGGATTCCCGACCACGATAACCTTCACTGTCTTCTTCGCCTTAGCGTCCAAAATTTTTCCTTGTTCTTTGAAGATGTTCGCATTGGCTTGTAGCAAATCTTTCCTCTCCATTCCCTCTTTTCGTGGCATCGCACCAACCATCAACGCTATATCGATATCATCAAAAGCAACTTCTGCTTTGTCGGTGATGACTATTTCACGCACCAGTGGGAACGCGCAGTCCTCCAATTCCATTTGTAAACCATGTAACGAGTTCATCATAGGCGGAATGTCGAACAAGTGGAGAATAAGCTCNTGCAGAATGAATTACAATATATTCCACAATCGAACCTGATTTGGACCAAGCATATCGCCTCGAGCGACCATTCCAGCCAGATTGTAGCCGATCTGGCCAGCAGCACCGGTGATGAGTACTTTAACGGGCTGAAGAAAATCATGAGGGAAAATGCAGAAAACATACAGCCATCGCAGACGAGTTCGTGGGCAAACAATACACTGCGCAACCGTCAACGGCCTTATAAATAGCACAGTAAAACAGTCATCGCAAAAGTGGTCTCGAAAAACAATTCGGTTCAATCTTATGGGAAAAAATATCAATATCAGGATGCAAAAGGCATCTTTTTGTAAATTGAATCAGTTTTAAGCTTCAGCTGAGCGAGGCATATTCGGGTATATTTCCGACGATGAATGGAGCCTAATGAACCCGTTCACTTCTGTTCAGTTCAGTTTGCACAGGACAGTAGTGGCCGAGACAAATCGTGCGTCCAGATAGTTGTGTT